CGTACTCCTCTTCTTCTATCACCAATTCTGGTCGAGGCGGTGGGTCAGGCGCTCCTTTGATCATGAAGATTGTTCTTCCTGCCCATCTTGAATCATCCTCGAACAGTCGCTCGCCAGCTCCTGCAGTTCTCCAATCATCGGTCACCGTCTCATACGCACCTCCTTTGGCCTTTCTCGCGACCGTGCGCCTCACATCCGCCAGCTGGTCTATGGGGACCGGACACTCTTCAGCCTCCTCCGGGAAGAACTTCCCTTTTCGGTGGGACTTGTGCACCCTGATGACCATTCGCCCATCGATGCTCTTGGTCCAGTAGTCCGCCAGCCTCCCTTTCTCCTCCTGGATCTCCCCCTCCTGGCCCTTGGTCCCCTTTTCGTAGAACAGGATGGTCCTCAGGTTGCGGGTCTTGTCCAAGAGTCGATGAAGGTCTTCCTCTTCTAGGTTCGTCACCTCCACGCTTTCCAGAACCTCACCGGTGTCATTGTCCACGGTGACTCTCCACTTCACGCTCCTCCAGGGTGGTCCTCCTTTTCGGGTGGTTCGGTAAGATACCGCATTCTCATCAATCCTCTTCCACCTCCGCATGGCTTGCACCCGTTGAGGGACCTTCCAACTCCCCGGAGCCAATCCGTCGATCTCCTCGTCCCACACCTCTTCCTTTCCACCACGAGGTAGGGTGTAGGCACCCATGAGGAAGTACCTACAGCTCTTGCCGTCGATGTCGTGCCCTCGACGCAGAGGTCCCGCCAAGTCCACAGACAAGATGTGTGCCTGGGGATGAGCAATGCGCCGATGTGCTCGTCCCTGTGCGGATGCTTCCTGGCATACACGACAGTCTCGCCTGTATGGCGTATGGCCGTTGGCCAAATGCTCGGCCCACGACAGCTTTCTCACTGCTGTCTTGATTCCTGTTGCTTCCAGCAACGCCTTCGCGACGGACCGCATCAGTCCCGGCGCCCATCTCGCAAGCTCCTTCGAGCCCTCCACATCTGCTGCAGCTCTGGTCGTACGGGTAGACCTCCTTTCTTTGCTGCTTTGGCTCTCCTCAGGGATCGCCAACTCCAGGTCCGTGCCCATCGTCGTAGGTTTCGCGGCCTTTCCTCCGAACACGCTCTGAAAGAAGGTGATTTCACTCAGGCCCTCCTTCTCTTTCATTGCCCTCCACTGCGGCGTTCGCCACCACGACCAACACTCAGGCATATATTTCTCCGGGCTGGCTGGGTGCTCCACGAGGAAATGGGGTTCTTCACCTCCCTTTCGTAGTGCTGCCTTCTTCGCCGCCAGGTAGATGACCATCGTCCTCCACATCATCACGTCGTCCTCGAACACCGCCTTAGCTTCGTGCTCGGTCAGGTCTGCCTTCCCGAACTGCTCCTGCACCGCGGGCCCCCTCACCGGTCTCGGGCCTCCTCCAGCCTCCGGCAACGGGTAATGCCTCAGCACACTCCTCGTTCGACAGTTTGGTCCTCCAACCACTGCCGCCAGACGCCCATCCTGTGCCAGCCTCAAAAGCGTGCCGTAGAGCGGGCCTCGCACCATGTCGTGCTCCTTTCCTCTCTGGATATCCACCTCCAACAGGAACCGATTGTCTCCTCCTAGCTCCTTCACTGCTCTTGACAGAGTATAACCTTCTTCTGCGCCTGCGTAGAGGTGCAACCAGAGGGGATCTCCTCCTTTCTCCAACAGCCTCCTCCTCCTCCGGTTCCAGGGTAGATGCCGAAGATCCTCTGCAGGCTCCTCCACCAACATGGCCTTCACCTTGTCGGGCACTCCCTTGAACACCGGGTGAGAATCCACCAGCTGCTGGATACTCTCCTTCTCAATCAGCGCCTGTACCAGCACTTCACCTTTATCCTTCTCTGTCTTCAGCTCCTCCAGCTCGTCGAGAAGCTTCATCGCCACGGCCCTGTCCACATAGGGGCATTCATCTCTCATAGTCACCTTCAGCTTCCCTTTTCGTGGGTGTTCCACTGAACATTCCACGCCGGACCACTCCACCTTGCACCCAAGGGCTTTGATCAACACCCCCAAGGGAATGATCGGGTCCACGTCCGGGTCGTCATGGATGATGATTCCTCCCGGGCTCATTCTCATCCACCGCTCTTCACCTCCGGCAAGGGTTACTCTTACCTCGTCCATGGTGTCAAGGTCTTCCGAAGGTTTGCATCCTCTGAGTGGATGAGTGGCCCCCGAGTCCAGCAATCCACCAACGGCTCGGCTCAAACTCGACACCTGGGCCTTATTCAGCCTTGGGTCTCCTCGGATCTCGTCCAGCTGCTTCTGCAACATCTCGAGCCGATTTTCCCTTTCTTTCCCATTCTTCACACCGCTGGTCTTGTTGAGGCTCCTCAACATCTTACCCGCCTCCTCCAACACCTTGGTAACGGAGCTGGCAGCTGTCTCCTCTACCACCACCTCCTTCTTCTTCTTGTCCTTGTCATTCTCCTGGTCCACCACCGACTGAGTTTCTGCCACTCCTCTTGCCTCCTCAGCTTTGAATGGCTTCACTGCCGGTGCCGTTGTCCGTTCTCCTCCTCCAGGCTTGGAGACCTTGCGCGGGCAATCCTTCCGCATGTGCTCCGTCGACCCACAGTCCCAGCAGCGTCCTCGAGCCGTCTCGTCCGTCGGGTGCAACCAATCACATCCTCGACCTCGCCGGCAGCCGCTGTCGGACATGTAGAACCGGCAGGGGGTTTTCCCCTTTGCTCCTCCTTTTCCGTCGCCCTTCCCTTCTTTGCCTTCTTTTCCTTCCTTTCCATCGCGGCCTTCTTTGGACTCCTCCAGCTTCCGGACCTTGGTGTCTCCTCCTGCCGTGCTGGTTTTCGTCGGAGCCTTCTTCTCGCTCAAAAAGGCCGTCTGTTCCAGCTCCGCCAGCAAGTGTTCCGCATACTGCAGCACCGTCGCATGGGTCGGAACCGAGTCCACCTGCAGTGTGCTCCTCGCCAACGAAACTCGGAAAGTCAACTCCCGGTTCGCCTCCAAGACCTTCTTTGTGAGCTTCGTCAGGCCTCTCATCAAGATGCTTGAGTCCGGCAGGGTCAACCCAACGTCTCCTGCACGTCGCCGCCATCTGACCCAACGTCTCAGCCCCTTCACCGCTTCCGCCACCGATGGAGCTTCCCCTGGCTCCTCCAAATTCCTCAACACCACGGCCTTCTCCGCCAATCCTCCCGGCTGATAAGCGATCATCAGCTTGCACAGAACCGCAAACGTCGTAACGGCCTGCGACGAGATCAGCTCATCACGGATTCCTTCCGGCACCGCCTGGATCAGCATCGATACCGCTCTTCTTTCCACCCGACTCCACTTCTTCACCTTCAGGGATGTAGGTGTCTCCGGGATCATGTTCATCCGCTTGATGGGGACTTCCTGCAAGTAGCGGGCATACCATTCCTTGGCCTCGGTGACCATGAGCTGCCACCACTCAGCGCTCGAATCACTCAAATCAGCGAGGAGCGGCTCTATGATGATCATCCAGTCACCCAGATCAATGGGGCCTGACTCCGCCGTAGGTTCACTCAGCTTCGGCAGCTCAGTGATGCCAGGGCGAACCACCTCCACCGTCTCCTGATTTCCTTTCCCGGCACCACCCATCAACTGCTGTTGCATGGCCTGCATCCCCTCCAGCAGCTTCAGAATGACGTCCATCTGCTTCCCGTTCTTTCCACTGCCCGCCACCGATGCCGGCCTCAGCTCTGATGAAGATTCATCATCATCTTCATGTTCACCTCCATTGTTCTTGCCGTTGGCCATGTCCGGGTTCATGCCCTGGTCGCGCACATTCTGGCCATAGCTCACGTCCACGTTACCTCCCATCACCTCCATGGGCTTCCGGCTGTTGTCCCCACTCTTCTTGTCCTCGATGCTAAGCACCTTGCTCTTGTCCCGACTGTCCGGGGTACCATAGCTCTCTTCCACCGCCTTGCCGTTCTTCAGGCTCTCAATCTCCCTCATCAGGCACTGGTTCTGCGCCATGAGCTCGTTCACCAGCCGCATCACGTACTCCTGGTTCTCCACAGGCATTCTTGCCGCCGGCGACATCCTGCTCGTAGCGCCCGCCAGCTCCATACCCGCCTCCATAGGTTCAGGTAGATGCCGAGGTCTCTCTTGGTCCATCCGGGTGCCATGAATCAAGGGGGCTTCTCTCCGCCACCGAGTCAGGGTCTCCATCTGGGCCTCATTGACCAAGGGTTCCAGAACCACAGGGTCGCCACGTGGCCCACCTGCCCATTGTTCTTCTCCGTCTCCTTTGCCTTCTCGACCGCGGGAGCCTTCTTGAAGGGCCGTTCTTCCCGAAGTCGACCTCCTTGGCGTGTCGAGCTCCTCCGCGGATCTCTTCCCACCGGAGTTCCCCTTGCCCTTGGCGCCAACCGGCACCAGCTCCTGCCCAACCAGCTCCAGGCTCTCCTCCGCCTCTTCCGGTTCTCGCCGTCCGAGGTCTCCTGGAGACGCCATGGCTTCACCGCGTCCTCCTTGGGCTCATAACCTGTAAACCCAGGTTTCAGCTACGCGCCCTTTTTCTTGAACACAAACGGCTTCCAGGTATTCCTAGAGTAATATTTCAACAACCTGAAATAAGGTGGTTGGGGGGCTATTCCCCACATAAACCACCATTTGGAGTGAGGTGGTCTGAGGTCGTTTTAATTCACCCAGACGTGATGTCTGTCGTACCCAGAAAGCGAAAATGTATGGGTGAGCGTCCATTTTCTTACGAGACCCTTTCCAACGTTGCAGATTCGCAGATGCACGGTGCAGCCCATGGATTCTGAAACAATCAGCTTTCTGCATTCCAGCAAGCGAGCAGGATGCCAGCAGGATGCCAGCTTTATACATTCCCTCACATCAACTGGGATCCGTATGACTCCTACAGCACCCCACCAAAAGAAAGCTCGCTGAAAATGACCCCCAACGGCTCAGAGGTGATGCTAACACCACAGAAAGACAGGGATTGAGAGGTTGCGGGGTCAATGAACAAGGTTGCGACTATCTTCAGGCAAGTCACGGAGATCCTCTTTTGCGGTCAGAATCATCGTCTTCCTTGCAACTGGAGCGGTGCATGACACCTTTTTTGGGTCCCTAAATTTGGCTGGAACTAGGACCCCAGCAAAAAAACACATTTTTGCCTGGTTAGTGGAAAAACAAAGGGGACCCCAAAACAGCAAAAAAAAAAAAAAAACAAGGGGAACTAATGCTGGGGAAGTAATATTGTAAACCAACCACGCTCGACTACAAACCCACGGAACTTTGCGGTCAATTACGGGAATTCCTGATCCCATACTTGCAATACTTGGGGTATCCGCCGTGGTAACCTCAAATTTGTGCAGCAAATAACCTGAGAAGGGCAACCCGCAGCGCGCTTGGGATCCGAAACCTCTACAAGGTGAGCCCTTCCATGAGCTAGTTTGGAATCCTCCATCTGCTTAAGCCCCCTGAGGGAAAAAACAAAACATATATATATATATATTTCCAGTTGTGATAAATGCCCTTGAAAACCAACAAAAAAACACGACTGAAGCATATTCTTAAGCAATCGGAAGGATGGGGTAGACCATTCAAACTGCCGTCAAAAGTGGTTGGTGGACATGAATCCCCACCAAAACGATGTCCACCACCAAAGGGATGAACATTCACAATTTTGCCGGGCCCCGTTTTGGTAGCCCCTTTACAGGGGTCACTGGATTTCCTCTTCAAAAGTTGCAGTTTACTGGTGGCTTCCAATCAGTTTGGAAGTCCAAAAAAAAATAAAATGGAGGGGCTCCTGCTTTAAACGTTTAAAAGACACCTGCAGACCTGTGGACAGGCCAGCAAGGCAGTCGTTCAAAAACTGAACAGCCTCCATCCTTGCCCTTCCACCAATTATATAACATGGAACCTGACGTTTGGGGGAGGTCCGGGTTTGGCCAATTTTCTTTTTAAATGGACCCTCTGCCAGGATCCCTGGTATGGTTAGCTTTTTTGATTTTCCTTTGAAGCAATTCTTCAAATTGCCATGATTTTATTTCAGCTAGGGAGCCACCTCAAAAGCCGTTGGTGAACATGATATTCCCTCCGCAACAATGTCCGCCAAAGGGTCCATAAGTCAAAATCACACCCAAGCTTTCCCATGAACCAACCAGCCCAATACAAGTGCAGGAGCACAGTCAAGGTTTGGATCGACCCACGGCGGCAAATGGTCCAATTTGGTTCAAAGCGCGCGAGGGTCCGACCCCCCTCAACCCCTCCTCCCCTAATATTATTTTTTGTGGCGGGGGGGTCGCCTATTTTGACACAGGACGATTTCCACTTCAAGGGCCGCTTTTCTGACAGGGTCATTTCACCGTCAGGCTCCAAAACTTGCTCGCCACCTCCACTAGGTCCTCCAGTAGAGAGGCTAGAATAAGGGCACCAACTTCTTTTTCTTCTGTAGTCTATTTTAGTAGGGGAACCGAAAACCCCAAAAAAAGAAACGGTAAAAGGGCACCCAGCTGGGGGACCTAGTCCAAACCAAGAAAAGGCCATTGAGGGACCCGCGCCCCTCGACTCCAAGAATCCTCATCTCCGCCTGCGTCTGCCTCTTCTGCCCGCAACTTCTGCACGGCTCCTCTCCCAACTGCGTGGCCCCGCAGGTGCACCGATACGCCGGCTCCTCGAGCAACATCGCTGGGCCCCAAATGCCGCAATGGAACCAACAGGGAGAACATGCAAGAAGTATATTTGTTCAGCAAATGGAAGCAACAGGAACATCACCCAGTTTTAGGAAGATCCCCTATTACACCATGGGTGTGTGTCAAGAAAAAATATATATACCTAGAATGGGTTGCCCAAATGGAATCAGGGACAAAACCCAGCGGTCTGAAAAACTTGGACTGGCGTGACTCCAAACTAGGGAGCCCCATCGGCTTCCTGTTGGGTGTTCCAAAAAAAACAACTCCTCAAGCAGGGTACTCCCACTCACTCGTCCATTGGGACCTCAACCACACATGGACCACTGGACCGCTTCGGTGGTTCTCATATTGTCCGAACATTACCCCCCCCCCCAAAAAAAAAAGAGCAAGAAAGACAACAGAAAAGAGAAACACACAACAACAAATGTGCCTGAACGTTACCCCCAACCAAACAACAAAACAGACAATGAACAAAACAATGAAAGGAGGGTGTTCATGTCCACACTGAGTGCACCGAGTCCGGTTCCAACTCTAAAACAACTCGTCACATGGCCGATGGCCGAACGGCATGTCCAGGCATTTTGAGGCATGGTTGTTGGAGCTACTGTGCATGAACGAAATCCTGCACCATCTTGAAACCATGGGAAATGACTACCGTTGGTATTTACAGAAGAATCAGCACTCCAGGGTTTCTTAGGTGGTACAGGATTTCGTCCACAGTATGGATGCTGAAATGCCCACCAATAAAAGCTTGCAACGCAGTATGCACCCTTTAAGTGGCACTTTTTTTTCACTCTACCTGGGTCTGTCTTTGGCTTTCCTAGTGGATTCACTTGAAACAGCTACCATAAACCTTGGTTGCTGTTGACCCCCCTGCAACAAGTTTAACTATAAAAACAAAAGTGGAAAAAAACCCAGCTTGATTTCCCAAACAGCTAAAGTCTAAAAATCCAACCCAGTAGCAGTCAAGAAACGGGGGCGGTACCCTGAACAGAAAGAATCCCAGCACCGATTTCTCAGTACCCCGCCTCACGGGAGGCGCTGCGCTTCCGGCCTCGCTGTTGGCCAGTCGAAAAACTTGCCGCGGGCAGGGTGGGGCAAACCAAAACGGACTTACCCCGAGGGAAAAAAAAGGCGCCCGACTGGCAAATGTTATGCTGCGAAACACCCAAGAGACACAAGTTTATGTAACGAATGAAGGTCCCGGAGTACTCACCCCTCTGAGTTGTCCCTTGAAAAACCCAGAAAAAAAGGTGGTCACCTGGTTGGGGCCATGACTTAAAATGGGAATGGGAAAACCAGAAGGTCGCAAAGTCTTTTTTGTTTTTGTCTTTTTAGGGGAGGGGTCCATTTTGACACATACAACAGTGGTTCGGAGGTTGGGTGGGTTCCCATTCATCCTCTACAAGAAGGGGGGGCTATCCCTGGATAAGCCAAGAATAAGCCCTTAAAAAGGCTGTATTCAGGGGTCAAGAAGAGAGTGCTCCCCTCCCCCCTCCCCACGGACCCTCCTAGGCGTCCCTGACACTGCGCCAAAAGATGCAAGCCATCCCGCAAAGCGAGAGCAAGCAAAAGCCCCTGGTCCGGAGTTCCCCATGTCGGCTACACTTGACACAACATGGAGCTGGTTGTACCTAGTGAGTTGTTGCCCAAACCACATCTACTTGATCCCCATCTCATTCTGGAACCTCTTTCACATGTGAACCACCCCCAAATTGATAGTTTTACCTCACATCTTCACTTGGGACCCAAGACCTTGCGCACACAGAATTGGCTTGAGAATTGAAGAGGCGGACATCGGCACCCATTTCTGGCTGGCATTGTCCCGTCCTGGATCCCTGCCACTTCTCCGGGGTTTTGAGCCCGCGACAAAAAAATCTGGGCCCTCAGATCCCCCGCTGAAAGTGACTAACTTTGGGTGGGCGAAATGGAAACACCAGGCTTAAAGAGGCCAAGGGACCGGATGCCACGACTCAAACCGGGACCCCCGGGCCCCCATCCCGCGCCTATCCCGGAGGGCGAGCGCGAGAGCGAGTGCTGGGACGGCGAGCTCATGGCCTTCGGGTTCGAGGCGTCGGCGCCGGCGCCGAAGCCCCGTTCCTGGCCAAGCCACTGGCCCAATCTGAAGGGAAACCAGGTCAACTAGGTCCTCCAGTAGAGAGGTTAGAATAAGCGCACCCAATTTGTCTGCGGTCCTTTTTAGTAGGGGCACCCTCCCCCCAAAAAAGAAACGGTAAAAGGGCACTGGGGGAAGTAGTCAACTCAGATCCCAGCCAGTGGATGGATGCCAAAACAAGTCACCAACTTGTTCTTGTTTGCTAAGATGATCCACCCCCCCCCAAACCAAAAAAGTGGCTCAAGTCTGAGTTCCGGAACCCAGGAAGGGAGAACAGGAGCTTGTCTCACTTTCTGAGTGGTTTTTCCACAAAAAGTAACCCAACTTGTTATCTTTTGCCAAAACGCGACTAACGTCAACACGAACGGAAGTGAGTTGTTTTAACTTACCCCTTACAACTCCCTGCGCCCTGGGGAAGTTTTCATCTTTTACAGACACTTTTCGCCCATGTTTTCCCCCCAACAAGTTGAGAAAAGCTGTGTTTTTTAAGAGGTAAGTTTACTTGCCAGCACGAAAAAGCAACCCCCTGGTATGGCAGGCGGTCACTTTCTCAGACTCAAACCTAGTCCCAACCCCTGTGAAAAACGCGGGGTCTTGAGCCAACATCCATGGCTTGAGCCCCCTTCCGTTCCACTCCTCCGGCTCGGGGCTTGAGGCGGGCCTTCGGCCGGTGACCTCCTGCGCGGAGCGCTTGGCGCGCCGCTGAAAATTCGGGGCCGCCGCTTTTGGATTTTTTTCGCCTGGGGCAAAAACGGCACGACAAATATGTGTTGTAAGAGGTGAAATCGATCATCCCCCCTACCTTGAGGGGGACCGGTTTCGTTGTCTGGACCGGTTTCGCCCCTTGGACAAAAACAAAGATGTGCCCAGTGGTAAAAGCGATTCCCTTTGAAACCAACATGGAAAAAAAAAAAAAAAAAACTATTCGTTTCAGCAAATGGAACGGGGGGTGGGCGGTTCGGGACCCAAGTCCATCTATCAAAGGAAAATAGGTTGCCACACATGGAGATCTCCAGGGTCATCCCCCCCAAATCCACTTCTAAGAGGGTGGTGATCCCGTCTAATCGACGCAACCGCCTACAAGAAGCGTTTACCCCCCGAAGCCACAAAAGTTGACCCAAGCAAAACCAGGGTTGGACCAACCCCTTTAAACATGTTCAAGTCACTGTGGTTTAACGCCCGCAAATTAGCATGGAACGACAGCCACCTTGTGGAGGACCCCTTGTTAGCTTCTGTTTGAACATTTGCAAGGGGCTAAACACCTCTGTATTTCCCTTTGTGGTTTGTTGGTTCCCTCTGAGAGATGGTGAACCCCAAGTTGCTCCATTTCTCCCGTACTAATTTCCTGGGACACCACTGGGACCCCAATGTCCAGGCCGGCAATTGGAGGGATGCTCGATTTGTTTCCCGGACATCAGCTCCAGGAGTATCCAGGTCGAGCGATTCCAATCAAATCCAGGGCGCAAGCTGCAGCCAAAGCCCCAACCAATTCGCCAGCCAGGCCCCACTCACTTCACATTGAGGAAAGGTGGTGTTTAAACTCACCACTCTCACTTCCTACCCAAAGGCTCCTGGGGATTTGAATGGAAGACCCAACCCCTCCACTAGACACCGCGGAGGTGTTTGGGGGTCTCAATGTCAAAACCTGGCTGTTTGAGGGCCCTAAATACATCGGGAGCCTCTGGGTAAGTTGATTGGCCAAACAAAGAGAGCTAGTGACAGTGAGTGAGATAGAGAGAGGGAAAGCTATTTATAGAGAGAGAGAGAGGTACTTATATGGACAGGGAGAGAAAATAGCAATACAAATGGAGAGAGAGAGAGAGAGGGAGAGTCTGTTTGTGTGATAGTTAGAGAGTGAAACTCTTTGTTTGGCACCAAAAGGTCCAAACCAAGTCCAACCCTCCTTGGTTGACGTTGGAAGGGGAGCAAAAGTTTAAAATTTTAGCAGGTAAGTGGAGATGTCCCACTAAACCACAAGAAGCAAGAATGTAAAATGTTCCCCAACAACAACCAAACCTCGGGAAGTGCGAGCTAGGGAGGGCCGCCCCTCTGGGCGCGCGCGGCCGCGCGGCTCCTCCTCTGTCCGTACACGGCGGCTTGCGCCCGAGGCCGTCGAGGCCGCGGAGGTCGGCGGCTCGGGCGCGCGACGAGAGTCCGTGCGGAGCTTCACCTGGCATGCCAGTTCCTCACCTTACCCCTTAAAACTCCAAGCCCTGGGGAAGTTAATCTTTTACAGACATATAGCCCATGTTACCCCCAACAAGTTGAAAAGTTGTGTTTTTAAGAGGTAAGTCACATCCCATCGAGCGGATTGGCCACGAAAAGTGCTGGAACATCTGCTGGAACTTGTTGTTGCTTTCCTTATTTATTTATTTTTTGAATATGTACCACCAACATGGTCTAAACCCGAAAAGTGACTGAATCCATGAACTCAGGAGGTGAGAGGATGGCTTAAATCCCCAAATCGAAGCTAGCAAAGGGGTTGAATGGGATACACAGCGATATGCAGCCAATACTGCAGAAGAGGCTTTGCACCCTGTGTCTCCTGGAATGGGACACGTGCAAAGGGGTGCCCTTACCCTATTCAGAAAAAATGTTTTTTAATTAAAGGGAAACCAAAAAGAATGGTTGGGATCCCCCAATTGCTGAGAATGGTCCAAAAGAAGCGCGCAGGTGGAAAAGAGAGAGAGAGATAGAGAGCGATGTCATTGGGGACTGAACGATGCAAGTGGGAAAGCACAACAACTCTACACATGGCAAATGCCTTGGTTGTCAAATCCATGATTTCAACTGAAGAGATATGTGTAGTGAGAGCGTGTGTAAAAGAAAACAATCCAAAGCCAAGCCCTGGAAACAAACACGCAAGCAAAGAATGCAAAACACGCAAACACACATACATAGGTACATACAAGCAAGCAAGCAAGGAACCAAACAAACAAACAAACAAACAAAATAAACAAACAAACAAACAAACAAACAAACAAACAAACAAACAAACAAACAAACAACCAACCAAACAAACAAACAAACAAACACATAAACAACCAAACCGAACAAAACTAAACCAACCAAACCAAAACAAAAGGAACAACAACACAAAACAAACACACACACACACACACACACAAATATGTAGGGGGCAAAATCCTCTCTCTCTCTCTCAGTCTAGGGGGCTGCGGGTCAAAAAAATGGGTACCCAACATGGAACCCTGGTAAATGGAACCCATGACTAAAACAGGCGGTCCATATCCTGGTGCTTTCATTTTGACCCACACCCAGGGTATGTACGGCCACAGGTAAAAACGGAGAGCCTTGTTGTTAGGCACCACTCGGACGCTCTCCTCGAAGTCCTCGGGATCGACCAATCAGCTGGACATGCGCGGAAAATGAAGCTGTCGGGAAAATTACTCTTCCCTGTCCCCGTGAAAAACTTACCCAGAAGCTCCCGATGTATTTAGGGCCCTCAAACAGCCAGGTTTTGAGACCCCCAAACACCTCTGCGGTGTCTAATGGCAGGGTCGGGTCTTCCATTGAAAGCCCCAACAGCCCCTGGGTAGGGCGTGACGGGTGACGTCTAAGAATTCTTGAGCCCCTAATCCTTCTGGATTCTTTGAGGGTGGGGCAAGTTGTTTTTCTGTGCTTGTTTTTTCTTTTGTTTGTATCTTTTCTTTTTTTTGGAGGGGGGGGGAAGCTCAAGTCTGGTAAAAACATGGTGGTTACATACGTCAAGCCACATGGCTAGACACCCTTAAAGTCACGCAAGAGGCCCAAACTCAAACAGCAAGTAGGCTTCACCTGCTGCGCCGGATTCCAACTCGCAAGTGCTCGGGCATTGGATTTTCTTGCTGGTTCTCAGGGGGGAAACTATCCCCTAGATGGGTTCCTTTTTTCGGGAATCCGTAGGTTCATTCCCAAACCCTGGGCCATTCCCTAGTGAGCCCCAGCAAGTTTGTGGAGCCCGGGCCACCACAGGTGGATCAACTACCGCGAGCCTTAAAAACCTCAAAATTCGTCTGGTGTCTACAAAGGTTACATTGATGGCCTGACTCTGACTGTTTCCAGAAGAATCTTCTTGTTTGCCCCCCCCCTCTCCCCTGCCTCTCCCCCCCGGCCCACGCCAGCTTCTAGGGGTTGATTCCCCATTCTTTTCAACCATCGTTCTTTCAAAAACCAGCTATTGTCCCCGGGATTCCGGAGGTTTTCTAGAAACAAGGATCCCTGGAAAGAATGGAAATGGAAGGTACCCCCAGGATAGTAACTTGAGCATCTTTAAAATTGTTGGCCCAACCCTGGCTTTGCTCGGGTCCACTTTTGGTGGTTTCGGGGGCCCTTCGGGGCGAAGGCACCTAGACAGTTGCATCGCACCAGCCGCTTGGCCCAGGCGCGTCGGAACTCCCGGTGGAAGCCTTGCCCCGGGACTCCATCGGCCGCGCGGCGCGGCCCTGGAGGCAAAGGCTTCGCCGACCAAACGCGATCGCGCAAACGGTCTGGATCTTGGCGGCTGAGTGGTTGCGGGGGGCTTTTCATAGCCACGAAAAAAGCGAGGGGCTCAAATCCAACAACTCAATTTTTAGGAGGGAACCCATTTTAGGTTGGTTCAATAAAACCTTTTTGGAGGGAAGCCCAAAAATGGGCTGGTTATACCAAAGGACAACCTATTCCTCTACCTTGGTCTTCCAAGGACCCGCAAAACCAGGGTCCTTCTTGATTTTGATCTTGGCTCCAAATAAAAATTCAACCACAGGCCTGCTTTTCCAGGGTCCTGCCCATAGGGATCCCAACTCTTTTCGGGTCGTTTGGCATCGGGCCCTCAGGGACAGAATGGCGAGGGGCCATAGAAACACGACCCCTCGTAGCAAGGGCCCTGGCTGCTCGGGGTCTGCAACCACTATCGATTATTCAATAACAATCGCTTTGACAGTTATTGGCCCGCACACCGTCCTGGCCGGCAAGCGAAAGATTCAGCTTCCCGACGTTTCTGACGGCTTCCCGACGTTTCCGACGGCTTCCTGATATTTCCGACGGCTTCCCGACGTTTCGTTTCCGACGGCTTCCCGACGTTTCCGACGGCTTTCCGACGCTCGGGCCCTCGCGGGCCCTCGGTTTGCCTAGTTTTGAGGGCCCAAGCGTTAGCTTCCCGACGTGTTTCCGACGCCAGACCTTGACGCGCGCCGTTCTAATCGGCACTATAACTGGCCCATAAATACACCAAACTGTGACTTTACGCCATTGCAAGCCAATATCAGCGATAGCGCGTACCCAAAGGAATTTTGCACGGCTCATGGGCCTGTCAGACACACACACACACAGTAACAAGCAAAGTCAGCAACCGTTTGGCAAACACGGGATAACACGGGACTCCTGTCAAGAAGCTGCGAAATACCAAACATGTGCCCCCACAAGTACATCCGAAACAACAGGTAACGCGTTAGCGATAGGACTGTGGACTCAAGCCTTCACCCATAGCGCTAGGCCTTTTTAACAACTATCTGAAAAACATAACTTTGTTCTGCGCAGGGGTGTCGTTGCGGCCAGTGGCCAGTTGGGTTTCAGACCTTGTCACGTTCGCTCAAAAACGGGTCTGGGCCCCCGGGGCGTCGAACTGTGAACTGCCAGAGCCCCGGATCGTCAGGGTATTTAGGCCGGACCCTTCCAATGCACATCCCGGCCCTTCCAATGCACATACCAAAGAGCCTCAGGGTGGAAGATCCGAGCCTTGAAGCCGCGGACTGGGGTCTTGGCCTTCGGCCAGGTGGCGCTCAGGGGACGGTCCTGACCGGAGACCCGGCACCATAGCTCTCCCGGAGATCCTGTAAATAGTTTCAACCATAGTTTCAACACGCAATGGTTTCAACCATAGTTTCAACCAGCAATGGTTTCAACCATAGTTTCAACCAGCAATGGTTTCAACCATAGTTTCAACCAGCAATGGTTTCAACCATAGTTTCAACCAGCAATGGTTTCAACCATAGTTTCAACCAGCAATGGTTTCAACCATAGTTTCAACCAGCAATGGTTTCAACCATAGTTTCAACCAGCAATGGGTTTCAACCATAGTTTCAACCAACAATGGTTTCAACCATAGTTTCAACCAGCAATGGTTTCAACCATAGTTTCAACCAACAATGGTTTCAACCATAGTTTCAACCAGCAATGGTTTCAACCATAGTTTCAACCAGCAATGGTTTCAACCATAGTTTCAACCAGCAATGGTTTCAACCATAGTTTCAACCAGCAATGGTTTCAACCATAGTTTCAACCAGCAATGGTTTCAACCATAGTTTCAACCAACAATGGTTTCAACCATAGTTTCAACCAGCAATGGTTTCAACCATAGTTTCAACCAACAATGGTTTCAACCATAGTTTCAACCAGCAATGGTTTCAACCATAGTTTCAACCAGCAATGGTTTCAACCATAGTTTCAACCAGCAATGGTTTCAACCATAGTTTCAACCAGCAATGGTTTCAACCATAGTTTCAAACCAGCAATGGTTTCAACCATAGTTTCAACCAACAATGGTTTCAACCATAGTTTCAACCAGCAATTTCAACCAACAATGGTTTCAGCCATGATTTCAACCAGCAATGGTTTCAACCATAGTTTCAACCAGCAATGGTTTCAACCATAGTTTCAACCGGTTTCAAACATAGTTTCAACCAGCAATGGACAGCCATGGATTTCAACCAGCAATGGTTTCAACCATAGTTTCAACCAACAATGGTTTCAACCATAGTTTCAACCGACAATTGGTTTCAGCCATAGTTTCAACCAGCAATGGTTTCAACCATGATTTCAACCAGCAATGGTTTCAGCCATAGTTCAACCAACAGTGGTTTCACCAGTTTCAGCCAACAATAGTTTCAACCATAGTTTCAACCAGCAATGGTTTCAACCATAGTTTCAACCAGCAATGGTTTCAACCATAGTTTCAACCAGCAATGGTTTCAGCCATAGTTTTCAACCAGCAATGGTTTCAAAAAATCATTTCGCACCGAAACTGATGCCCCGGTACATAAGAACCAACAGCGGTTTCAACCATAGTTTCAACCAGCAATGGTTTCAACCATAGTTTCAACCAGCAATGGTTTCAACCATAGTTTCAACCAGCAATGGTTTCAACCATAGTTTCAATCAGCAATGGTTTCAACCATAGTTTCAACCAACAATGGACAACCATAGTTTCAACCAACAGTGGTTTCAACCATAGTTTCAACCAGCAATGGTTTCAGCCATAGTTTCAACCAGCAATGGTTTCAACCGTAGTTCAACCAGCAATGGTTTCAACCGTAGTTTCAACCAGCAATGGTTTCAACCATAGTTTCAACCAGCAATGGTTTCAACCATAGTTTCAACCAGCAATGGTTTCAACCATGTTTTTCGGCACCAGCAATGGTTTCAACCATAGTTTCAACCAGCAATGGTTTCTTCATAGTTTCAACCAACAATGGACCGGCCATAGTTCAACCAACCAATAGTTTCAACCATGGTTTCAACCAGCAATGGTTCAACCATAGTTTCAACCAGCAATGGTGTCAACCATAGTTTCAACCAACAATGGTTTTCAACCATAGTTTCAACCAGCAATGGTTTCAACCATGGATTTCAACCAGCAATGGTTTCAACCATAGTTTCAACCAGCAATGGTTTCAACCATAGTTTCAACCAGCAATGGTTACCACAGTTTCAACCAGCAATGGACAACCATAGTTTCAACCAGCAATGGTTTCAACCATAGTTTTTCAACCAACAATGGTTTCAGCCATAGTTTCAACTTTCCAACAATGGACCAACCATAAGATTTCAACCAACAATGGTTTCAACCATAGTTTCAACCAGCAATGGTTTTCAGCCATAGTTTCAACCAGCAATGGTTTCAACCATAGTTTCAACCAGCAATGGTTTCAACCATAGTTTCAACCAGCAATGGATTCACATAGTTTCAATAACAATGGTTTCAACCATAGTTTCAACCGGCAATGGTTTCAACCATAGTTTCAACCAGCAATGGTTTCAGCCATAGTTTCGTAACATTGGTTTCAACCATAGTTTCAACTCAGCAATGGTTTCCCTGTAAATACCAAATAACAATGGTTTCAACCATAGTTTCAACCAGCAATGGTTTCAACCATAGTTTCAACCAACAATGGTTTCAACCATAGTTTCAACCAACAATGGTTTCAACCGTAGTTTCAAACCAACAAACCCTCGGGGCATGGCTTTAGTTTTAACACACGGTTCAGCACATGTAAGCCTTATACCTTGCAACCATAGTTCAACCAGCAGGCTTTTCAACCGTAGTTCAACCAGCAATGGTTTCAACCATAGTTTCAACCAGCAATGGTTTCAACCATAGTTTCAACCAGCACTGGTTTCAACCATAGTTCCAACCAGCAATGGTTTCAACCATGATTTCAACCAGCAATGGTTTCAACCGTAGTTTCAACCAGCAATGGTTTCAACCATGGTTCAACCAACAATGGTTTCAACCATAGTTTCAACCAGCAATGGTTTCAACCATAGTTCAACCAACAATGGTTTCAGCATAGTTTCAACCAGCAATGGTTTCAACCATAGTTTCTAATAACAATGGTTTCAACCATAGTTTCAACCAGCAATGGTTTCAGCAATAGTTTCAACCAACAATGGTTTCAACCATAGTTTTCAACCAACAATGGTTTCAACCATAGTTTCAACCAACAATTGTTCAACCATAGTTCAACCAACAATGGTTTCAACCATAGTTTCAACCAACAATGGTTTCAACCATAGTTTCAACCAGCAATGGTTTCAACCGTAGTTTCAACCAACAATGGTTTCAACCATAGTTTCAACCAACAATGGTTTCAACCATAGTTTCAACCAGCAATGGTTTCAACCATGATTTCAACCAACAATGGTTTCAACCATAGTTTCAACCAGCAATGGTTTCAACCATAGTTTCAACCAACAATGGTTTCAACCATAGTTTCAACCAGCAATGGTTTCAACCATAGTTCAACCAGCAATGGTTTCAGCCATAGTTTCAACCAACAATGGTTTCAACCATAGTTTCAACCAACAATGGTTTCAAACCATAGTTTCAACCAGCAATGGTTTCAACCATAGTTTCAACCAACAATGGTTTCTTCATAGTTTCAACCAACAATGGTTTCAACCATAGTTTCAACCAACAATGGTTTCAACCATAGTTTCAACCAGCAATGGTTTCAACCATAGTTTCAACCAGCAATGGTTTCAACCATAGTTTCAACCAGCAATGGTTTCAACCATAGATTTCAACCAACAATGGTTTCAACCATAGTTTCAACCAGCAATGGTTTCAACCATAGTTCAACCAACAATGGTTTCGGCATAGTTTCAACCAACAATGGTTTCCAACCATAGTTTCAACTAGCAATGGTTTCAACCATAGTTTCAACCAGCAATGGTTTCAACCATAGTTTCAACCAGCAATGGTTTCAACCATAGTTTCAACCAACAATGGTTTCAACCATACTCAACCAACAATGGTTTCAACCATAGTTTCAACCAACAATGGTTTCAACCATAGTTTCAGCCAACAATGGTTTCAATATAGTTTCAACCAACAATGGTTTCAGCCATAGTTTCAACCAGCAATGGTTTCAACCATGAACAACCAACAATGGTTTCAGCCATAGTTTCAACCAGCAATGGTTTCAACCATGGATTTCAACCAGCAATGGTTCAACCATAGTTTTCAACCAGCAATGGTTTCAACCATAGTTTCAATAACAATGGTTTTCAACCATAGTTTTCAACCAGCAATGGTTTCAGCCATAGTTTCAACCAACAATGGTTTCAACCACATAGTTTCAACCAGCAATGGTTTCAATATAGTTTCAACCAGCAATGGTTTCAACCATAGTTCAACCAACAATGGTTTCAACCATAGTTTCAACCAGCAATGGTTTCGCCATAGTTTTCAACCAACAATGGTTTCAACCATAGTTTCAACCAGCAATGGTTTCAACCATAGTTTCAACCAGCAATGGTTTCAACCATAGTTTCAATAGCAATGGTCAAACATAGTTTCAACCAACAATGGTTTCAACCGTAGTTTCAACAGCAATGGACAACCATAGTTTCAACCAACAATGGTTTCAACCATAGTTTCAACCAACAATGGTTTCAACCATAGTTTCCAACCAGCAATGGTTTCAACCATAGTTTCAACCATAGTTCAATAACAATGGTTTCAACCATAGTTTCAACCAACAATGGTTTAAACCATGGTTCAACCAACAATGGTTTCAACCATAGTTTCAACCAGCAATGGTTTCAACCATAGTTTCAATCAACAATGGTTCAACCATAGTTTCAACCAACAATGGATTCCAACCATAGTTTCAACGTTTGATGGTTTAACCATAGTTTTTGTTGTGGAAATGGTTTCAACCATAGTTTCAACCAACAATGGTTTCAACCATAGTTTCAACCAACAATGGTTTCAACCATAGTTTCAACCAACAATGGTTTCAACCATAGCCTCTGCTCAGCAATGGTTTCAACCATAGTTTCAACCAACAATGGGTTCAAGCATAGTTTTCAACCCGCTATGGTTTTAACCATAGTTTCAAAAGCCATTTCCCTTCCAGTAAATAGCAAATAGCAATGGTTTCAACCATAGTTTCAACCAACAATGGTTTCAACCATAAGTTTCAACCAGCAATGGCTTCAACCATGATTTCAGCCATTGTTATTTTCAACCATAGTTTCAACCAGCAATGGTTTCAACCATAGTTTTTCAAGCAACAATGGTTTCAACCATAGTTTCAGCAGCAATGGTTTCAACCATAGTTTCAACCAGCAATGGTTTCAACCATAGTTTCAACCAACAATGGTTTCAACCATAGTTTCAACCAGCAATGGTTTCAACCATAGTTTCAACCAGCAATGGTTTCAACCATAGTTTCAACCAACAATGGTTTCAACCATAGTTTCAACCAACAATGGTTTCAGCCATAGTTTCAACCAACAATGGTTTCAACCATAGTTTCAACCAGCAATGGTTTCAACCATAGTTTCAACCAGCAATGGTTTCAACCATAGTTTCAACCAACAATGGTTTCAACCATAGTTTCAACCAACAATGGTTTCAACCATAGTTTCAACCAAACCATAGTTCAACCAACAATGGTTTCAACCATAGTTTCAACCAGCAATGGTTTCAACCATAGTTTCAACCAACAATGGTTTCAACCATAGTTTCAACCAAGCAATGGTTTCAACCATAGTTTCAACCAACAATGGTTTCAACCATAGTTTCAACCAACAATGGTTTCAACCATAGTTTCAACCAACAATGGTTTCAACCATAGTTTCAACCAGCAATGGTTTCAACCATAGTTTCAACCAACAATGGTTTCAACCGTAGTTTCAACCAGCAATGGTTTCAACCATAGTTTCAACCAGCAATGGTTTCAACCATAGTTTCAACCAACAATGGTTTCAACCATAGTTTCAACCAGCAATGGTTTCAACCATAGTTTCAACCAACAATGGTTTCAACCATAGTTTCAACAAGCAATGGTTTCAACCATAGTTTCTTAGCTGCGAAACGGATTTCGTCCATCCACAGTATCTCACCCTCTGAAAGGACACCTGGCTGCGGATTGGTTTTCTGGCCCCGCTGGGTCTCCGAAACCCGCAGCTCTTCGAACCCACGACACGCCAAACGACCTCTCGAAGTTAAGCCTGAATTGACAAACCGATCGTTCATGGACCTGAAAGCTACGAAAGCTGGGATTGTTTTGGGGGTTGACTGCTACGAAGCCACCATGCAAGAAGGGCGAACGGATTGGTGCCACTGAACTGAGGACATGTTCTCCTCTTGTTCTCCAGGTGCCTATGTTCTACCTCAGCTTCCCTCTCAGTGGTTTGGATTGGTGGTTTGGTGATTAGGGAGTGGTTTCCCACCTACCCTCTACACGACTCAAGGGTTGAAACCCCCGCCAATCCAAACCACCAACGAAGGGTTCTTTCGCCAATCCAAACCACCAACGAAGGGTTCTTTGAGTAGTAGCTGCAAGTTGTAAGCTACCTTGGCAAGTGACTGGAACATCCAAGGCTTGGCATGCTGTGTGCCAATACCCCGTTTTGACCCAACCCGATCCCTGCAAGGGACCCGCTCAACGGATGCGTGAGCAGCTGTACTTCGCGACCATTCTTTCCATGGATCCTTCTATTCAGAAAACACCAAACACCAGGTTTTCCCTTCCAAACAAAAGGGTAATAAATCTGGGGCTCTGGCTCAAAATTTAAAACAAAGCCGGGGATAATTATGGATTTAGTGTTCCTCCCTTTCCCAAGATGCCCGTTTGCTACATTTTTTGTTGAGCCAAAGCCAACGCTTGATTGAAGACTTGAAAGAATGTGGACCAAGGATTCCCCTTTACGCGAGGTCGCAATTGTGTTTGCCAACCAGACTGGCGAACAAAACCCATGTGATTCTGGGTAGCGAATTGCTGAAGTATTTGTTCAACTGTTGTGTAATTAGTTGTGCCTTTCTGACCTCTCGTGACTCCCAAATGGACCATGAGCCAAGCACTTTCGCCGGACCACATGGACGCATACCAACCATCAGCCTTCGGCAAAAAACCACAGGTTTCAGGAACCCAACCCTAAAAGCACATTCTCACGTTTTCGATCCCCCCGCTATTTGGGTGCCATCTTTCGAGCAACCTGAGCAAAATGCACAATATGGGCAACTGATGTCTGCTCTGGCTCAGGCCCAGAAGTGAAAACTAACTCCGGACAAACAAACAAAACATACCACATATCAAAGTTTTAGCCTTTTACCCTTTCAAGGGTGGTTCATCTAAGTCCTTCCCGGCTCCGAAGCGAAGCTCAACGTCTTAGATCTAGGAAAAACAAACTTGCAAGCGGTCCGTCCTGTTTCACAAAGGCTAAAAGCGTTGGATCTAGAAAACTCAATGTTGGAAGTGGTCCCCAAACCATCAACATTTACGATAACTTATACTTATATATATATATATACATATGTGTGTATGTATATATATATATATACATGTGGTGCCCTCCAAATGTCCACCTACATCTGACTCTGCAAAAGGAAAAAGACTCTCCAACTCAGCCGTCTGAACCGTTTAAACCGTTTGAACCCTTCCTCAAAGGAAAGGTCTGGGCCCAAAACCGTTTGAACCGTAACCGATTGAACCGTTTAAACCCACTCTCAGAGGAAAGGCTCGGGCCCAAAACCGTTTAAACCGTTTGAAGCGTTTGAACCTTTTGAACCGATTGAACCCTCTCTCAGGTGGAACCCTAGGGGGGGGCTGTCGTTTGAGAGAGGGTTTTAACGGTTTAAATGGTTTGAACGGATTTGGTCAGAACCCTGGGAGGGGGGGGGGGGCTTTCCTCTGAGAAAGGCTTTAAACGGTCTGGGGCCCCGCTGGGGGGGGACCTTTCCTCTTAGAAAGGTTTAAAGGGTTTGGGGCCCTGACTATCTTCTTTGCTGTTGTTGTTGGCATCTTCTGCCCAAACCTCAGCTTAAAAATAGGTCAGAGGTGGATCCAAACCGACTAAAATTTCATTCGGGCCTGGATTCAAGATTCGCTGGAAAAGTGTTTAACCTGAAGCTTGCAGATTGTCTTTGGACATGTGCTCTTTTTTGCTGCGTTCCCCAAAATATCTTTAAAAAAAAAAACGGTGTTTGATTGGAATGTGTGTGCCAAATTAGACTTTAAAGGCAGTCTCCTTTCTTCTTTTGAACTTAATAGGGAAATACTCCTAGTAGGATGTTCCAGCTTAAAAAGAATGTAAAAAAGGTGTTTCTGTTCAAAAAAGATTTGTAGTAAATCCAACTAAGGCCCTTCTTTTAAAACAAGCCTATCTGGATTCTTGTGAAAAACAGAAACTCGACTAGAATCATGTCATTATTCAATTACATTTAGATTATGATGAAAAATACAAACATGTCAAAGAATAATTTCGATGTTTTCAAATTAGATTCTAAAGGGGGTGTCTTTTTCCAGGATCGCGCATTCAATTCTCTATAAAAATGAAGTGGAGTTTAGTGAGGAAATAACCTACGATTTCTAGTTTGAGAATCTACATACGTGCCCTTTTCAAACTTGAAATTGAAATTGGAAATTGAATCATGTTCTAATTATATTAGATCATAATAAAGTTTAGGACATATTTCAAGTAGAGTGTTTGGTTTTAACGAGAATTTAAGTAGGCGTTTCGAAGCGTGTCTCTTTTCTGGGATTGAGATGTCCAATGAATTTAGACAGACACTAATAGTGAAACATACTAATAATGTCTAGGTTTAAAGGTGATGTAAATAGGATTTCCTGTTGGAAATGCCTACTTCAAATTAGATTTTACAGAGGACTTCCTTTCCCAGGATGTTTTTTTGTTTTTTTCTCCCAGCTTCTAATTACAATCTAGTAGATTTAAACAATAAAATAAGACACCTTTATTGCTGCTTTCCCCCAAGCAAAAAAACATAAAACATCGCAAATACCTTTGAAACCAACAAAAGGGTCGACAGTTGGGGGGGGGGGGTGTAGCATATATATATATATATATAGATACAAATGACCAAAAAAAGGCCCCCAAACAGTCGCACAAAGGGGGTGTCCACAGGGAGCCAGTATGAGCCAGTGATCCTGTTTAATGACTGTTTGGGGGCCTTCTTTAATAATGTCAAGCTTTTTTTTTGGGGGGGTCAAACCCGGCAATACTAAACTAAGCAAGCACTGGGAATCTTGAGAGTAAGTCCGCGCAATACTAAATTTAGACTAAGCAATGCTAAACTAAGCACTGGGAATCTTGAGAGTAAGTCCTGGCAATTCGGCAAATTTAGACGAGGCAATACTAAACTAAGTACTGGCCATCCAACAGGTAGCGCTAGCAATACCAAACGAAGTGTTGCCAGTACCAAAGCAATACTTAGGCTAGGTCCTCCAGTAGAGAGGTTAGAATAAGGGTACCAACTTTTTTTCCTGTAGTCTATTTTAGTAGGGTCCCGAACCCTCCCAACCAAAAAAAGAAACGGGCGAGAAAGGGCACCAATTGCTGGGGCTTGGTCCAGGTCCATCCAAGCTCCCTGGGAGACCTTTGAGCCCAAGCACTTGACGGTTCTTGGAATGAGGAGACCATGAAACAAGCTCCCGCATTCCTTGGTTGACCTTGGGTTTGGGGAGCAACAATTCTCAAATTTTAGCAGTTAAGTGGTTGAAATGATTTCACCCACTAATCCACAATAAGCAAAAATGTATACTGTAAAATGTTTCCCAACAACAACCATGATTAGGGGGGAGCCCCAAAATGGCTTGCATGATTTCCATGACCCCGCCGTGCAAAACAAAGGAAATGGCGGTCTACTGCTTTGGGAAACGCTATGGATACAGCTCACCGCGATTTCAAGCTCAAATGGAGAGCTGGCCGTCCTCTGGGAAGATGGACTGGAAGGACAGGTCCAAGGGCAGGTCGCGGCGGGACCAAAGCTTTACCTAAAGGCCGCGACCCGTTTAGGAGGGAATTCATGTCCACCAAGTTGCTAATAAAAATCAATCACCGCGAAATGGCGACCCTTTTTTAGTGCGTGGGGAAATTGACCAATATTTAGAGCACTGGAATTGGCCCAGGGAGAGCTCAAATCAGAAGCGCAGTCAATAGTGATCGGGCAGAAGGAGTTGGAACCCTTTCCGGGGGTTGAACACTTACAGTCGGTCAACCCCCCCCCCAAAAAAAAAAGAAGAGAGGCATAGGCTGCCACCGAAAATCCCGCTTCAACATCACCCATCCCCTTTGGGAGTCCATGGGGTTGTGCCAAAATGTCTGAGCTCCCAAGATGGATGCATTCCTTTTGGCTTTCTTAGAACCTCAGCCCTCAGGTTCAAACAACCTTTAAAACAATGGGGGTTCATATAACCACCATTATTTACCTAAGGATTGTCATCATCTAAATTGGGTCGACCTTTGTTTTAATGGGGGGTGAACCCCAGGGTCAGTGTAGTTGGTGGTTTGGATTGGTGGTTTGGTGGTTTGGTGGTTTGGATTGTGGTTGCCCATTCTTTTTTACTCCCTACAAGAACCGGCCAACAATCCCCCAAACCACCAATCCAAGCAACCAACAACGGGGAACCATCTGGGCCTTAAGCAGAAACACAGAGCGAAAACCAGCAATGGAGCCCAATTTGTGTTTCGAGGTTGCCATAAAGTGAACTTCGGATTGATCTGGAGGACCCAATGAATCAAGGGGTGATTCCTCTCTTATAGTACGGAATGATCCAATTTGGGAGTTCACGAAGGACTCATCCTCCAGATTTGGCCGAAGTCAGTGATTTTGGCCCAAGTGGTGACAACCTACTTACCACTCCCACTACCTCCCCCATTCCCGGGGAAAACGGCTGGTTTTCGCAAACAGGGATCCTTACATTATACACCTGAACATTGCCTTTTAAATGGAGGTGTCCCTTTACTTTGGTGCAAAAAGCCATGTTTCAAATGGGCAAAATGTAGCTTTTAAAAAGCCCCGGAAAAAGATGATGGTTGAAAAGAATGGGGAACCAACCCCTAGAACCACATGGCCAAAAGGCCGAGGGCGGCATCTGCGGCATCTGAATGGCCCACAGCCCCGCGCGGGGCTTTCGCCCCAGCCCTGGCGGCGGTTTTTTTTTGGCACTGAGGGTCTAGGCTAGCCGTGGCTGACACATACCGTGGATGGACGAAATCCATTTCGCATCACCTAAGAAGCCCTGGAATGGGTCTGATTCCCTGTAAATACCAACAAACAGTGGTTTCAACCATGGTTTCTTAGGTGGTGCAGGATTTCGTCCATCCACAGTATGTCTAGGGGTTGATTCCCTCGTTCTTTTTAACGGCAGTCGTTTATCTTGCACCACCTGAGAAACTCTGGAATGACATGATCCCCCAACGAAATACCAACCACCCATGGGTTCAACCATGATGTCAACGGTGCAGGATGTCTTCCATTCACAGTATGTCTAGGGGTTGATTCCCCATCCTTTCCAGCCATTTTTTCCGGAGGTTTTCTAAAACGAACGATCCCTGGGAAGAATGCGGAAGGTTGCCCTAGAATATGAGGCACAGTCAAAATTACAAAGGTTTCCCAACATGGACATGGGAACAATAAGGCATGTCCTCTGCTTTTTGCGGGAGATTCCGTGAGTTTCCCCATGTTACTCGCAAATGGACCATAGACTCCTGAGAGATTTTGACCAAATCTCATACCACTTGACAGGTTTGCTTTCGCAGCCTCTCATGAAGAATAGGGCACTTTCGGGACCTGAGCAGGAAATGCGTCATTTTCAGTGGTTGGGTTATAACCCCTCTGTCCATGTAAACTGAAGCAGTAGTCCATAAACTACCATGTCCCTAAGCAGACCTCCTGGTAGCCCAGATATCGGCTCCCTGCTCAAAAGCAACTTTGGATATCTCCAGCGGCCTTCGTGCGGCCCCGTTTCCAACCGCCAGCTAGCATCCATCTGCTTAAGTTCCCTGAACAAAAACAACACAATAGTGTGGATGGACAAAATCCTGCACCACCCAAAACACCATGTGAAACCATTGTTTGTTGGTATTTAAAGGGGATCATAAATCATTCTAGGGTTTCTTGGGTGGTGCAGGATTTCGTCCATCCACAGTATTTCCGAAAGTGAAATCGATTCCCTTTAAAACCACAGGGAAACTGGCAACAAAATCATATTTTAAGCGCAAATTAGAAGACAAGGCTGCAACACAAGGTGTCTTGCAACACAACATATTCATTTCAGCGCAGATTGGAAGCTCGCAAGACATCTCCTTGGACCCCCAGCCCCATGGCCCTGATGGCCTCCCGTGGTGGAAGCCAAACTCAGCCAGCTGCTGGTGGAGTTGTTGGGCCGAAACTTTGCCGACGACTCATCGCTGGCGGACTTGAGGTGGGGCAGCCTCAGCGTGCCTGGCAGCTAGTGGTAGGTCGGTCTCTATTTGGGGCCAACAAAAAGCACAGCCCCCTTAGGCTCGGTTTGCAGGGATACCAAAAGGAAAGTCATTTCAGGCGAAAGCATGCTGGTGCTGGATGGGTATATCTTTTTGAGGCTTGGTTTGAAGGGCAACCAACAAAAATAATGTATGCGGTGCCAGGTTTGGCGCATAGGATCTGTGGGTTAGGTCCCGCTTGCCTATCTGGATTTCCTGTCCTGATTTCGCTGGATCTTAGGCCCAAGGTTTTCTCAAAATAGGGGACCCCCTTGTTGGATGATAGGCACCCCAGACTTCTCACCGCTTCACTTAAGGAATGGCTAGGTAGATGGTGGTTGTATAAACCCAGTCTGAGTTAATGAGGGCAAAGGGAATCCAGAAGCAAACCACCTACCCGGAGAAATCCTCAATTTTGAGAACCAACATCTTGACCCCGGAGTAAAGCTTGCGGTGGGCTCACTGGTTTTGGTGTATTCAACTAATAGAATCAATAGAACTTGTTGTGGGTTCTAAGTTGCAATCGTGGATCAACTTACAGGCATAGGTGTCCTTTTAGAGGAAATAGATGGCTCTGGTAGATGATTAAACTACCAGGTAAACCAGGCATCGCCATCTACCAAAACAACCAAAAAGGACACCTATGCACACAGGAAATATTCAAAAGTTGTTTGTTTTCCAAGGATTTGGATTCTCTAAATTCACCTACTGCTGGCGCACAGCCAGGCGGATTAGCCCAAACAACGGCTCGAACCTCCTGAAGCCAAATGAAGGCGGGGTGTGTGTTTTGAAGGCTCCCCTTTTTTGGTTGACGTTGGAAGGGGAGCAAAAATTCTCAAATTTTAGCAGTTAAGTGGTTGGATTTCAACCACTAAACCACAATAAGCAAAATGTTTCCCAACAACAACCATATTTTTTTGGAAACTCAAAAGGAAAGCCAAATTGGTGCTTCCAAAGAAGAAACTCTTTGCCAAAGTCCGGAAACGCGCCTTCAGCATAGGCATCGGAGGTTGCCCATGTGCCCATGGCCCATCCTTCGGATCCTTGATCCCTGAGGCTAAAGCCTTGCTACGAAAACATGGCATAAAAATCAATGTCTTAGGGTACGACTGGTTCAATCCTCATGGGCTTAGGGACCTTGCGGGTCTCCCAATCTCTAGTCCAAAGCTCTAAAAGCAAGTTCGAAGAGGGCTAAGGACCCAGGAGGTCATGAGCCCCCTCAACCTCATGGCTTTGCCCCCATCTCATGGTTTTGGGCTGATCTTTGGCTGGAGGCCGGCGACCGCCAGCTTTTCGCCGCTCGCCGCCGGCACCCCTCGTCACTCGAAAACGAAAGAGCCGAAAGGAGAGCGAGCCGCTGGCAGGTCGTTGGTCGGCCAACGTTGGGCGGCCAAGCTAGGTGCAGCTTCCCTCCGACTTGGCTCTCTCTTTAAAAAACTGGTACCCTCCAAAACGAACCAAATGCCTGGCTTCCCCTTGGCTTCTTGTCAAAAACGCCACCAGACGTCAGCGTTCCCAACCGGCGATTTGAAGTGTGGGATCCCAAGCCCCCAGGCTCCTTGGGATCCCAAGCCCCCAGGCTCCCTTTGACCAGTTGCGACATGGAGAAGTGTCGACACATCAGCCACCAAGAATAATATGCCACGCAACTTAGTACTGCAACAGGAGGCAAGCAGGAACCACACCTTACCTGATCCATGATGAATTAAACTCAGGCCAGCTTTGACTCGTTGTCTCCAATTGGGGAAGCCATCAAATAGGGGGAGGTTCCTAAGGAAGTGGTGGTTTTCCTGTAAACAAAACCCAAAAGAATACCCTCAAGAACCAACCCCCCCCCATATGCATCAACTCCAGTGCATCCCTCTTCCCTAGGGCTCTGGCGGACAGGCGCTGAAGGTGGCTTCAAGCCGCCGTCCATGACCAGTGCGCTGCCGGTTGACTTGCTTCGCACAATTGGAAGAGGCCCCCTTCCAGGTTGTGTATCCTTAAAGCATGGGATGACCATTCAAGGGGCCACCGAAAAAGACGACTTTCACCACATAACAAGAGTTACCCATCATTTTGGGGGGCCCTACATGGAATATCGATCAACCACCATCTCTGCCAGCAGTCTTGTTGTTCACGGAAGGAGCTGGGCGCCCTGGCTCACTTGCCAAAATGGCCTGTAACTTCACAACCCTTGGTATGGGTTGACAAAAATATGGCTCCTTTTTGTTTGCCCCCGAACCGACAAATGAACAGAAGCAACAAAGCAAACAACTTGCCAAGAACAGTGAAGCCAAACCCAAAATGGGAAAGCCAAAAGATCGATTGATCTGGTCGATTCGCTTGTGAGCTTGAGCTCCTGTGCATTCATGCTCATCGGGACGTCTAAACATGAACAAAGTGAAAACCACAAGGTCGATTGATCCGGTCGGATTCGCTGTGGTTGCAACTGAGCAGCTCCCCTGAACAGTGCTTTCATGCTCATCGGAGGCTCCCACTCCCGGTGTTCAAAGAATCCATTTTTGACAGAAATCCTGTGTGGATTGGCCACAAAAAGTCTGAACTGTGCATTTACCATTCAAATGGTCTTCTCAAAAAGCTTAAAGTCCATGAGCTCAGGGAGTGAGTTGAAGGGCCCTCCTTTTGCCCTTTTCCTTTGAGGGGCTTCTTGCCAATGACAGGCCCTGAGCCAAGATGGCAAAGAGCATGATGCGCATGGTCCCATGCCCAGCCCGCGGCGCGCGTCCCAGACAAGACATGGTTGCTGCGTGGGTTTGGCTGTTTCTTTCGAAGAGGTCCTGTGGCGAACCATACCTCAACAAACACCACAGGTTTAAATCACAAAAGCACCAATCCAGAGTTACGTGACATTCTCTGTGGGTGCGATCTCTGGATTTTGCATACATCCGCAGTATGCTAGTCTCCCTTCCTGAGTGGATTGGCCAAAAAAAAGTCGGCACTTTTCTCTTTGGGCATTATTCAGGGTAATTCCAAAAGCAAGATGTGCAATTTGGAGCAATTTGGCAGCCTACTTAGGAAGGAGCATCCCAGCAAGTGCTTTGATTGAATGGGAGTAAGCAACATCACACACACTATTCGCGTTTGCTTGTTAGTGTTTTTGCGTGTCTGTGTTTCCAGGGTGCCCTTTGTGGGGTTGGCAAAACCCACTAAAAGGAAAGATACCAAATGCTAGGATCCCACTCCCCATCTTGACGCATACCACATTCCCATTTAGCGCCCAGTGTTGACCGAACCTCGGGTGAGGTTTACCACAAAAAGGGACCATTGATGACCATTGACAGTTTGATCCAACTCAAACGGTTAAGAAGGAAAACCCGGACCCTCATACTACCCGTTAATAATAGTAATAATAAACAACTGCTGCCCAAACTTATGAATGTGGTCCCCCCCTTTTTTGTTCATGTTGAGGGTCCAGGATTTGTTTCTGCCTTCCTACCCCTACACGACCAGGCAGTAGAACTACCATGTTCCTAACCAGACCTCCTGGCAGCTCCGATTTCAGCTCCTTGTTGCAAAGCAGCATTTGGATACCCCCAGCTCTGACTTTGGCGCCCTTCCAACCACCAGCTAGGTACCTTCTTATCCTCACTTCCTGAGTGAGTTGTTTTTTGTTTACCACTAAAAGCTTTTTATCCATTGCATGGTCTTCCCAAACGTATCGAGTCCCTAAAATCCTGAAATGGTCTGCCCAAAATGGCCCCAGGTTTTGAGTAGTGCTCATCGAACCAAACAAAAAAGAAAGCGCGGCCGGCGCCGTCTCCTGCCAGGAGGACCGGGAGAGCTTCCTGGCTGTCGTGCCCAAGCCCTTGGGCAAGCTGAACCTCACCTTCCACAGGGGGCACCTGACACAAAACCCAGTGGAATCGACCCTTCAGAACTTTCCAAGGGCAAAGAAAAAGAACAAAATCACATGTCAGGATGACTCACAGCTGAGCTCGGAGCGGTACCTGTTCCTTCCAGCTGATGACTCTAGTATCCACAAAATGTCAGTACCTGGAAGCCAAAGGGCCGCCGGATTGGCCAAAGAGTCCCCGTTAAACGTGTTTTTTTCAACACGTGGCTCGGTCCGAGTTCCGGAACCTCGGGGTGTCGAACCCCCGTGTCCTGACTTACGTGCCGGGATGCAGGGCGTGTTGCTTTAAATACTCCCCGGAAGATGAAGGCGGCATCAGGAAAAAGGTCAAGAAAGCAACCCCACAAAGGAAGATTGCTCCCAATGCAGGGGGGGTGTCTGTGATGTGTGTGCCTTGCATTTACTTTCTCGCCCCTGGAACAATTGAGATGTTTTTTTTTGTTTTTTTTTTCAGTAGTGCACGCGATTCCTTTAAAACAAAAAGAAGAAGAGGACAAAACGGAAAGTCATGTCAGCAAATGGAAGCCAAAGGGCAAGGTGATTGGCTAAAAGTCCCCAAACTGTTTCAAAGCCACAAGAATGGTCCAAGCCCAAAAAGTGACTAAAGTCCGAGTTCCGGAACTCGAACGGGAGTGAGGGAAGTGATAATTATCACCTTTGGGGACCTTGACTAAACATTCTAGGGGTTGATTCCAATTCCATTCGTTTCAACCATTGTTCTTTTCAAAAACCGGCTTTCCCGTGGGGTCCTAATGGTTTGCTGGAAAGAAAGAATGGGGAAGTGTCCCCTAGAAACATGGACCAAACTTAGAAAATTGTCAAAGGGCTCTGTTTTTGACAACTGAGAAACCTCCCGTTTGGGCCTTACCCGCTCGGTTGAGTTGTTCTCTAGACCGACCCAACAAGTCATAGGTGAGTAGTCTAACCCTCCAGCCTCCCCTTAGTCAAAGTTGTGTAGGGGTAGGGGGCTTGGGGGGGAGCAGGCGAATGAACAAGGGTACCCTCCAAAATGACCCATGCGACCTTCAGACCTTCAGCTTCCGAACTCGTTCACTCGGCGTCCGTGCCGCTCGGGCGTCGTGGAGGCTTTGCCCTGCGCTTCGCCAAAGCAAGTCCCAGGACGGGGGGGACGGCCCCCGAAATCACCGGGCGGTGTGTTACAAAATGGATCAGACCCCCAGAATGGACGTTTCTCCTTTAGGTTCCCATCGAAACCACCCAAATGGCAGCTTCAAAAAACTCACGCACTCGTCTATATATATATATATTATATATATATGTATATCTAAGGGTCGATTCCCCATTCCTTCTCCCTGAAGAGAATGGGGCAGGCGCGGCTAGAGTTTCCGGTGGTTGGAATTCTTTCCCAAACAGCCATTTTTGTAAGGGTAGCCCCAAAATGGCTGGCTTTCCTCTTGGTTCCCTTTGAAATACGCCACTTTGTTGCTGCAACCACCCTCAAAAGTAAGAAGCCTTTTGCGAGTCCGACGAAAAATCCGACCCGTTTCAAACAAGAAGTTAAAGTTCAAAGAGCCATTACTCAGCTGCCCAAAGGACCCAGAACTAAAAGGTGATCACCTTTACTTCACCTTTTGGCACCTCTACTAAAAATGGACCAAAATGGGAAAACCAAAAGGTCAGATCCGGTCGATTCGCTTTGGACAACTGAGATTAGGAATTAGCAGCAGAGTCAAACTCAAAAAGACGAGCCAGGCTTACGGGATCAAAAGGCTCAATTCGGGCGAATTCTGCTGGTGGCGGGAGGCACCTCGAGTGTGTCAAAACGGAGTCCTGGAACATCAAGACACCTGCGTGGGGGTATCTTTGTTTAGAAAACCCCGTCACATTCGTGGGTTTCCCTCTTGGTCATACCATCTCATGCTTCTTTTCCATCCGCTTCACTTCGTGTGACGTGTGTCTAGAACTTCTGTGTTTGAGTTCCTGCTTGTTCATAGCATGAGTAGTCTTGCTGCCCGAGGCTGCAAACAGCTGTTGTAGTTAATGATCACCAGGTGAAAAGGGTTGCCTTATGCTCCGAAAGTACCCATTTGCTGCAAGTTGCTCAGACTTGCCTTTTTCTTAGGGATGGCGGCGAAGGAGCCATTTTTTTGCTGCGCGCAGCCAGCGGTAGATTCAAATCCAGCAAGGCAAAGGGATGAGTGGCAGGGGGGCAACTCGTTTTTGGTGGTTTAAAGGAACAGCCACGGTCA